CCCACAGTAGCCCCATGCTGGGGGAGGCTGGGCCGGGAGGAGCTGGGGGCTCCGTTCTGCGAGCCTCCGCGACACACGGTGGCCTGGGGGGGCTGCTGGGTCCCCGAGGCTGCCCCAGCGGCGGGGGCTCACTCTGCTCTCCCGTGTGACGTCCTGCACCGAGAGCTGCACCATGGGGTTGGGCTCCTTCCCGGGCTTCTTCAGCTGTGGGGAGACACGGGAGGGGGGGGGGTCACTGACGGTAACCGGGGGCCCGGGCCCAGCTCGGCTCAGGCCAGACCCCCTCCCTCTCTCCCTGAAACAGCCCTTCCCCCCCCAATCCACTCCCCCAACCCTCCAGTGACAAGCCCCCCCCAGCCCCACTCAGTGCAGATCCCTCCTCCCACTGCCCCCGGCACCCCCCCACGGCGCCGAGACTCACGGGAAGCTCCTGGGCCCGGTCCAGGTAGATGACCAGGATGGCGGCTGACGGCGCCTCCGGCTTGGAGGAGATTCCTCGGTTCCTCTGGAGGACCTGGGTCCGGGGGGAGAATCACCCCTGAGAGCTCTGGCCCAACGGACCCCCGCACGCCGAGGGGGGCTCACCGCCCCCCCTTCTCATCTGCCCAAGAGTTGGGCTCCCCCAACCCCCCATGGTTCTTAAGCTGAACTTATCCATCCTCTGCAGAAACGGAGGCTGCGGTCAACTGATGATGGAGTCCCAGAACTGGGGTGAGAACCCAGGAGTCCTGGTGCCTAGCCCCCTGCTCTAACCACTAGACCCCACTCCCCTCCCAGAGCCAGAACCCAGGAGTCCTGGCTCCCAGGCCCCTGTTCTAACCACTCGACCCCACTCCCCTCCCAGAGCTGGTGAGAGAACCCAGGAGTCCTGGCTCCCAAGCCCCTGTTCTAACCACTCAACCCCACTCCCCTCCCAGAGCTGGTGAGAGAACCCAGGAGTCCTGGCTCCCAAGCCCCTGTTCTAACCACTCAACCCCACTCCCCTCCCAGAGCTGGTGAGAGAACC